TTGACCAATGTTGCAAGAGGTCTTGGGAAACTAAAGCCATATTCCAGCATGCACCATATCTTTAATGATTTTTTTTCTTCTTTTTTGTTGACTACAAAGGAGAATAGCAAATTATGAACCATTCTATTTTGTCATCAAGCTAGGAAGAGTGCTTATTGACACCTAGCAACAGATGAAACATATATGCACGCAAAGTTCTTGTTTTAAAAAATCTCTCAAAAAAAAAAAATTTAAGAATCTCTATATATCCAAAATTAATGTCCACTAAAGTCCTAAAGGAGATAAAAGAGTCAAAACATTTTTCCCTTTTGAAGCAGACTCTCAAGTACTGTAGAGAGGTTTCCCTGGGTCTGCGCTCTCTCAGAAGGAGAGGGGGAAAGTAGGAGTGTCCAAGAGAGTTTGAACATTGAAAAAAAAAGGAAATATTTTTTACAAATATTTCATAGCTTGTGTCAGTTCAGGTCCTCCAGGAAGCAGATGCTAGGATGAAATTCAAGTCCATGAGAAGTCTGTGACACCGAAAGGGAGGAGGGAGCAGGAGGGGATGGGGAGAGCCTCACGCTGCGAGGAAGGAGAAGGGAGGGGGGTTGGAGAGGAAGAGCATCAGGCGAGAGTACAGCTCGGAGAAAGTCTCAGCCAGGCCAGTTGCCCAGCAGAGGCTCCCACCCGTGGGAAGGACCGGCCGGATCTGAACCCCTACCATGCCGAGTTCCCGGCTCCAAGCAGCCTGCCCAGGGTGGGGGTTCTGGACCACTACAGTGGGTCCCCACAGAGGGCTGCTGGCCCTTGACTTTACATATATTAACAAATGGTTCTGAATTTCTGCATTTGACTGAAAACAATCAGACTTGTGCATCATACAATAATACTCTTCGACTATATTATATGTCCTGAGTGCAGGCTTTCTTAAGACATCCAGAAAACCAGTATTTCATGCTGTTTATATTGCCTGCCCGTAACACTGTGTTTGACTTTGCCACCTCAACCCTGGTGCAGACTCAAAACTGAAATAGAATGCTGCCTGTAAATACACAGACATAGGAAAAGTACATGAAAATATTGTTAGTGAGTTAGAGGACTATTCTACTAGTTATTCTGAGTCATGAGGTTCCAGGTTACTTTTATGTTCCTTTCTTCTTTGTCCGTTTTGAATTTTCAAAACTGTGTATAGAGGTTACAGTTTCACAATAAGGAGGAAACACAAATTTATAGGATTTCACAACTATAGTTGAATGGCTGATACAGGTGGCTCAGACAGTAAAGCTTCTGCCTACAATGCAGGAGACCTGGGTTCAATTCCTGGGTCAGGAAGATCTCCTGGAGAAGGAAATGGCAACCCACTCCAGTATTCTTGCCTGGAAAATCCCATGGATGGAGGAGCCTGGTAGGCTACAGTCCATGGGGTCACAAAGAGTTGGACATGACTGAGTGACTTGACTTTCACAACTATAGTAGAATTCTCATTCTGTTTTCAAGTCTTCTCAGCTCTGAGTCCAATGACTCACAGATAATAGATGCTTGATAAATAAATATAAGAGAAGAAAGTAAACAAGAGGGAAAAAGGAAGAGTGGAATGGTAAAAGATATCTTTTGAGTTCCTTCTGTTTGCCACTCTGTATCCATCCTCCACCCTGCTCTGAACCCTAAAAGACTGACCTACATGAATAGCCTAGGTGAGCTCCTTGTTCTACTTTCTGGTTAGGCTGGCCAAGGGGGAGAACCCTGGCACATCAGAAGTAGGAATAGATGTTTATCACCTGAGATACCTCCCCATGGATCACTGCAACCACCCAGACCCAAGACCCTCCCCACACAGCTCTTCTGATGGGTAAAGCACACCCTCCCATTTCCCTTCAGATCTTAAAGTAATGATGTGTCTTGCTTTTACTAGATCTAGTCCTTTGTGCTGTTTTTACATCTGGCCTAACCCTTTATAAATAGTCCCTTTATTAAACTCTCATTAGAACTGATTCAAATGTATTCTTTTTAATGGCTGAGTAATATCCCACTGTGTATATGTACCACAGCTTTATTATCCATTCATCTGCTGATGGGCATCTAGGTTGCTTCCATGTCCTGGCTATTATAAACAGTGCTGCTCTAATGAGGTGGATGAAACTGGAGCCTATTATACAGAGTGAAGTAAGCCTGAAAGAAAAACACCAATACAGTATACTAACGCATATATATGGAATTTAGAAAGATGGTAATGATAACCCTGTATGAGAGACAGCAAAAGAGACACAGATGTATAGAACAGTCTTTTGGACTCTGTGGGAGAGGGCGAGGGTGGGATGATTTGGGAGAATGGCATTGAAACATGTATATTATCATATGTGAAAAAAATAGCCAGTCCAGGTTCGATGCATGATACAGGGTGCTCGGGGCTGGTGCACTGGGATGACCCAGAGGGATGGGATGGGGAGGGAGGTGGGAGGAGGGTTCAGGATTCGGAACACATGTACACCCATGGTGGATTCATGTCAATGTATGGCAAAACCAATACAATGTTATAAAGTAATTAGCCTCCAGTTAAAATAAATAAAGTTATATTAAAATAAATAAATAAACTCTCCTCTGATTGTCCAGTTTGAATGTACTCTATACGTATCATTAACTCCAGACAGATACACAGCCTGTTGGTGACAATTACCCAACAAGTTCTATTCTACAGGAACTAATCTTGAAGGATATGGAGAAAAGTTTTTAAAACAGTACTTTACTGCTCATTTTAGATGTTTAAACAACAAAAAATTTGTTTTCAGTGAGAAACTTCACTTTTACACCAAATATTTTGTAGTTATGAACTAGTTACAGTTTTTTGCCTGCCAAAAGACAAAAATTCATATGCACTGTCCTCTCTTTCTTCACCTTTGCAGAAATCTTGAGAAAGGTTGAACACGCTCTAAATACTCCACGTTGATTATTTAATATATGCAGAAACAAATGAAGGATACCTGTTGCAGTATGAGAATGTGCTCAGAGATTATTTCTTTTAAAAGATCATTTCTCATCTGTTTGTTAGTAGGATTTCTTTGTAGGTGTCTTTGAAGACAATTTTTTTTCCCCAGAAGACATCGAGAGGCTATTTTAATACTTGCAACTAATTCTAATTTTATAAAAGTTACAAATTTAAAAACCAGGGCTCTTAATTCAACTTATAAAACTCATTATTTTATTTCTAAGCTTAATTATGTAGATTTAAAAATACTCAATTTAAATTTAAATGGATTTAAAATTAATCTACTGAATTTTAACATTTTCCTTTAAAGTGGCCTTTTTTTAATATTTAGTGTCACTCATAAACTTAATTAAACTTCACTTAGATTTTATTTTTAATTAGGATATAGTTAATCCACAGTGCTGTGTAAGTTTCAGGCATGCAGCAAAGTGAATCAGTTATACATTTACATTTATTCACTCGTTTTTAAATTATTTTCCCATATAGGCTATTACAGAGTATTGAGGAGAGTTCCTTGTACTATGCAACAGATTCTTGTTAGTTATTCATTTTATATATAGTGATATGTATGTGTCAATCCCAATTTCCCAATTTATTACCCCCCCATCCCCTGATAACTGTAGCTTTGTTTTCTACATCTGTGACTCTTACTGTTTTGTAACTAAGTTCATTTGTACTCTTTCTTTTTAGATTTCACATATAACAGGAATCATATATTTGTCTTTCTGTGCCTGACTTACTTCACTCAGTATGGCAATCTCTAGGTCAATCCATGGCACTGCAATTAAATATTTTAAATTTAATATTCTTTCTACTTAATGTTCGAACTAGTAAAACTTAACCAAATGTTTAGACAATGATGAATCTAATAAATTAAAATTGAAAATTCGGCAACTCTTAAGTTCTCTTATACATTTCAGTGCTTTTTACAAACTTTGTAAACCTATCTTAGCTTTTCAATTTAATAAAATCACAACTCTAAAATTAAAAATTCAGTTTTACATTTTAAGCTGGAGCCATGAGGCTAATATATCAGATCCTCTAATTAGTCAAATTACCTTAACTATGACAAATATTAAATATTTAAAACATGAAAAATACACAATCACTCCCAAAGTTTAGGTAAAATAATTAACTTTATTGGTTGTTAGTTCATTATTTCTATATGTAAGGGGCAAATAAGCTTTATCATCCAAGCAATTTGGGGCTATTATTACAAGCAAATTGATTTAAAAATTCCAACAAACAGGGTTATCTGCTTAGTGACTGATATCAAACATAAAATTTTTGACCAAAACATCTCTAGAGCAGCCAACACCTAGAACAGTTTCTCTTGCAACACTGAGGCTATTTGTACCCTGTTTTATGGTCACCTTGAAATTAAAGGCTTCATCCTTACTTTTCTCCAAGTGAAATAATTTTATAGCCTCTATCCCCTAGGTTCAAGTTGTGCGAGCTTAATCGCTTAGTCATGTCTGACGCTGCAACCCCATGGACTGTAGTCTGCCAGGCTCCTCTGTCCTTGGGGATTCTCCAGGCAAGAATACTAGACTGGGTTGCCATGCCATCCTCCGGGGGATCTTCCCAACCCAGGAATCGAACACAGGTCTACTGCATTGCAGGCAGATTCTTTACCAGCTGAGCCACCAGGGAAGGCCAAGAATACTGGAGTGAGTAGCCTATTCCTTCTCCAGGGGATCTTCCCGACCCAGGAATTGAACCAAGGTCTGAATTCTTTACCAGCTAAGCTACCAGGGATTCAAGCTATATATTACCAAATATTCAAGGTTGTATTCAATTTATTTATTTACTGCTTGATTCTATCCTTTATTCTTTTCACATTTTCCTTTTCTCTAGGGACATAATTCTCATAGATATTTTTATAATATCCAGTTACACTGTCTATATCTTGTTTCCTGGGTCATGTTAATGATAGTACATTTTTTACCATCACTGCCACTCTCCTTCAGGTTACCCTACATATGATAGGAAAGGCCTGGGCAAAGGATACATTTCACAGGTCCCTAGAGTAAATATTTTAATGCTTCCCTCCCTTCTTGGGCCCTGCTCTTGGGTAACATGCCTTAGCCTGTGAAGGACCAGTATGAGATGACTTGGGTTGAGTAGGTCTGGGCTGAGAAGGTTTAGATTGGGAGGACTGGGGCTGGCATGGCTTGGGCTGAGTGGGTTTGGATGGAGAACTTTCAGCTCGGGGTGCCTGGTGCTGAGTGGGTTTGGGTTGAGTGGGTTTGGGTTGAGTGGGTTTGGGTTGAAAGGGCACAGGTTGGGAGGGTTTGGGCTGGGACTGCTTGACCTGGGGTGACTTGGGCTGATTAGATTTTAATTGAGAGCTGGGCAAATACATGCTGTAGGACATAGGATGGAATCCCATTTGGAAAGATGGATTTGAAGGCCCACCTTGTGTCTTCAGCTTAGCTCCTTGCTGACAGGCAGTCCTTCTTGGTTTTTGTGTGGCTCCTGCTGCTTGAGAGGCTTGATGGTGAGGATTTTCAGTGTGGGGCTTCGTTCTCACGAATGTTCTAATTGTTTCTGTTGGCCTTGTTCCCCAGGCACTGACTTGCCCAGGCTTCCCAACTGCTCCTGCTGGCTTTGAACCCAGGGAATGGAGGTGGCCTCCCTGGGAGTCCACTTTCCCAGACCTTTCAAGGGCTCCCATCGTCTGTGGTCTCTGAGGCCGGGCCGGTATACGCTGAGAAATGGGTCTTGGTGGTCTCCCAAAAGTTCTGCCCATGTGATGTCTCCAAGGAGCTCCTGAGAATCTCATAAATGTTTCACCTGAATAAAATCTCTGGGGCTGGAAATACTGAATTCCAAAATGTTTGCCTGGACTCTGTGCCCTTGTATTCTGAAAGGGCAAAGGATGGAAACTCTTAGGCCTCTGCTGTAACCAAAAGCGGGAGCCCATAGGCCAAGGGGCTTTCAAAGAACCATGGTTAAAGTTACCTCCAATTCTGGCTGGTAAAGGACGGAAGTTTCTCAGAGGAAGAATGAATACTGGAGGGAGATGGAAATTCTGACGATTTGGGCTGATCTGACAACTAGTCTCAGACACCTTAGCAGGGCTTTCAGATGAGTTTTCTGACTGACTGTGTCTTTGTGATCCCTCATCTTCAGCTGTTCCAGTCACGTTTTTACTAGGGGAAACTTGAATCCCCTGAATGTTCTCAAAGTCTTGGTCTACCTGTATCCCCAACTCTCTGGCCAGGGGGGCCATGTCTTCCACAGACACACATCTGAGTGAAGAGGACATCACTTCTTGGAGGGCGGCTTGAAGACCCTCCATGTTCCTCCCTCTCTGCCCCGCTTCCTCCTCCTCCCAAAACAGTAGCTGTGATGGCTTCAACTTCAAGACCCTCTGGAAAACCTGAGCCCCTTCACTCTCCCTGGCCTGGGGACTGAGGACAAAGTAGCATCTTTCAATGGCAGCTTCTCCTAAAAACATTAGCAAGTCCCATTCCTTCTCACCTAGGCAGTCAGTGAAAAAAAACACAGCTGAGGAAACCTCCATCAAGAAACCAAACTGTGTCCAAAAACTTTCTAGATCTCCACGAAGGTTGGCCACAGCAACAGGCTTCTGGGGGAAACTGGGGTTTTCACTTAAACTGCTGCTATCAGGAAAAGACCATGTTATCTCAACCAGGCCATCAGAGATCTGCCGGGGAAGCACCTGAACAGGCAAGTCCTGATGAAGAAAGATTTTGTGTGATTTCAGATGGGCAGGGCTGAGCAGGGCATTGAGGATTCTGGACTTGGAAAAGCTACAGTATCCTAGACGCACAAAAGAGATGACAGGCATCTTCATGAGAGTCAGAAGCTTTTCTGTATCCCCTGTAGGCCCTCCTGAAGACTGTGTTGACTGCTCCTTCACAATGTCCTTCATGGCCCCTAGCATTAAAATGCTTCTGTTGTTTTCTGCATCTGGCAGTAGCAGGGGAAGAGCAAACCGGCAATGATACATGTTTGACATGACTTCACGTTGCAAAGAGCTGTCTGAAGACAGCAAAGAGGCACAAAGGACATCCAGGGGATTAGTGGTTTCTGTTTCTCTAGTTTCCAAGTTCTCTACTCCAGTCAGCAATTCCCCTTTGCTCTCTTCACCCAGAACCTTGGGTCTGAGGACTGAATCTCTGGCTGTCACATCCAGTGCTTGAACTTTCATCAGGAAGTTCCAAGCCAAGTCACTTGGAGTCTCAGGCACCCACGTACATCCTCGGTCTAAGGAGAACTGTCTCACGAAGTCTGACCGAAGCTTTCTGCTTGTGTCCAGGTTCAAACAGGACAGGACATCTTTAAACACATTTTTTCTTTCTGTAGGAAAAAAAGATACAGTCAGTGAATGTCATGCTCAGCATCTAAGCTTTCTTCACTGACTTTTAAAATTAAGTAATTGATATTGTCTTTGAAAAAAAGAAAAGATGATCCACCATCTGTCTGTTCTTTTTGTGGTTGAGTAATATTCCATTGTATATATGTTCTACAACTTCTTTATCCATTAATCTGTTGATGGAGGAGGGATGGAATGCTGTGGGAGATGGAAGGGTGGTTCAAAAGGGAGGGGACATATGTACATGTATGGCTCATTCATGTTGATGTATGGTAGAAACCAATACAATATGATAAAGCGGTTATCCTCCAACTTAAAATAAAATTTTAAAAAAGATTAAACAAGTAAAGTGAAAGTGCTGTTTCATCACTCTGCCAAGTCTACTTTCCTTCTAAGAGATATGTCAATATGGTATGGTATGTCTCCTTCTCTTCCTTTTTCAATACAAGTATGTAAGTATGCTTGCATATGTAGAAGTACACAGTTTGGTATAATGGATGCTATTTTATTCTATAAAAGATATTATACCAAATGATTTTTCCACTTCTTTTCACTCAGTGGTATTCCTTGCAAATTTTTCCAAATAAGTATATACAGAGAACTACTTAATTCATTTTATTAATCCATTGTACTTAATGGTTTGGATGAACCACTATTTATTTAACCATTGTCTACCGATGATCATTCAGGTTTTCAAATTTTTTGGTTGTGTTCATATGCAGTAATGAAAAAGCCTGTTAATGCTACTTTATACATATGTATAAGGAATTCTCTAGGTCAATACTGATTTATATTAAATGTTAACTCTTGCTAAAATTTGGAGAAATTTGGAGAAATTCTGAGAAGAGTTTGTCTTCTCAGAATTTACATGTTGTATATAATTTTTCCTGATGTTATTTTCTAATTTATCTTCTAGCCACTTATTGAGAATACAGAGATAGTGCTAAGTAGAGAAAGAAAATCAGAGAGCATTTTCTGCTCCCCATGGATAGTAACTTAGCATAAGCTTCTTGGATCCCTTGTAAAAATAGCCTAGAAGAAACAGTAGACATGAGAGAAAGTGTAGGTTTCAAGAATTAACAAAAGGAACTCTAAGAAATCCTTTGACAGTCTGAAAGTTGCTTTAACTGGTGTATCTGATGGGTAAGAAGGTGAGGGAGAAGTTGAGGCCAGCACGAAGGATCCCCAGAGGAGGAAGTGAGAAGACAGATTTCAGAAAACATGTAAGTTCTGCTCTTGCCTCTCCCCTGCCTATCCCCCGCTTTTCCTTAGGACAACCATCCTCTGTTTCTTCAGCACAGCACCCGGTACCCACACGGCCCAAGCCAGATGCCAAATGTTGACAAGGTAATATCAGGCTACTGTGGAATAGTACAGTGATTTGTCTAACAAGCACAGAGATGAATGAAAATTAAGAAGCAATAATTTCCAGAACCCAGTACCATTTTTGTAAATTAAAAATTCATGAAAATAGCCCAGGTAAGACAAAAAGAAATGATTGGAGATTTTAGCTGCCACCCACTGAAATGAGACAGACTTTTTATTAATTTGAGTCCCACAGTTGATCAATGGAGACCCACTCCAAGATGACCCAGATATTGGACATAGAATAAAAGAATTTTAAAGTAGCTATCTAAACTATTTTTAAGAATGTACAATAATATAAACCCATAATGAATAATTTAATAGAAATTATCAGGAAAAAAGAAGAAAGCATTTAAAAATTTAAATTCTTGAACAAAAAGCATAATATCTGAATTTTTTCAAAAATCAGTAGATGGACTTTAAAAAAGACTGGAAATGACAGAAGAAAAATTCACTGTACTTAGAAATATAGTAGTAGAAATGATCCAATCTAAAGAATAAGGATAAAAAATACTTAAAAAAAAATGAACAGAGCCTTAGGGACCTTGGGAAAAATGTCAGAAACTCTAACATACATGTACTTGGAGTCTCAAAAAGAAAAAGGGGCGCAAGTGGGACAAGAAATATTTGGATAAATAATAGCTGAAAATTTTCCAAATTTGGGGGAGGTGTAAATTCCAAATTTAGAGATTCATAAACCCTACATAAGAAGAAAACAAAGAAAATCACACCTAGACACATCAGAGTTAACCACAGAAAACATTTTAAGGAAAACATCTTGAAATCAACCAGAAGAAAAATAGCACAACACAAGAGGGAACAATGATAAAATGACAAGACTTAGCATCAGAAAGAATGGAAGCCAAATGACAGAAATGATATCCATCATTTCTGAAGGCAAAAAGACACCAGTCTAAAATTCCTTACAGAAAAAATATTCTTCTGGATTGAAGGCAAAATGAAGACATGTTTCAATACACAAAAAATAAATAAAATTCTTCAGGCTAACAGGGAATAACATCAAATAAAAACTTGAATCTTCAGGAAGAAGAAAGAGCAGAGAAAATGATAAATTTATGGGTTCCTGGACTTCCCCTGCTGGCACTAGTGGTAAAGCACCCACCTGCCAATGCAGGAGACATAAAAGACCCAAGTTTGATCATTAACTGATTCCAAATAGTATAAACTAGAAGGGAAAGTGAAAGTGAAGTCGCTCAGTCGTGTCAGACTCTTTGCGACACCATGGACTGTAGCCTACCAGCAAGAGAGTTGATTACATAACCTATACATGAATTGACTCTATACATTGCAGAGCAGACAGGCAATGCCTTAAGTCTTCCTGAGACTTCAATTTGAGATGCAGGGATGGGGTGTGGGAGGGGCTGGAAGAAAGTGGCTTAAAATTTAACATGACAAAGAGCATGACAATCCTTCTCCTTTGAATCAGATGTATTTGATTTTTTCCCCCAGTTCCTAGCTGCATAGACAAATATTACAGAGGCAAGAGACAGAGCATAGCCATGAATTATTATTAAAAAAATTTTTTTTATCCTCCAGTCAACTAGAGTGGATTGGAAACCAGTAGAATTATATACAGTCATAACTGCATTATTATCGAAACTTTTCTTGACCTGTTTTCCTAAGGCTGTGTCAAATACAAATTGGCGCTTGTCAAGGGCATTTTCCATCTGCCTCTTCAGAGACTGAGTCCTGTGCTGTCGCAGCTATTGACCTTCAACATGACCTGAAGGGGGCTCAGAGTGGACACTGAGGCACTCTGTTGCTGCAGGAAGACTGGTGGAACAGGCCTTTAGATGGTTAGATATTTTCAGGAACAGATTTCATGATCCCAATCCTTACACTTTCTCATGTCCAGAAAAGCACTCAGTCCCTTCATGGTGACAACATCAACTCCTGGTGGCTAGCAGAAAACCTTTTGTAAAATAAGCGCTTGATTGTGTGAACTCCTCCTTCACTGAAAATCACATACATTGACCGTCCCCCACTACTCCTTTGGAGCAGTTTCTCAGTGCTATCTGAAATGCTCTCTCCCTGGCTGCAGTCCTCATTTTGACTCAAATAAAACTTAACTTGCAACTCTCATGTTGTGCATCTTTTTTTAGTCAACAAATGTTAGATTGGTTGCAAAACTAGCCCCAGGTAATGGCTTTCCTGGGTTTCCCTGATGGCTCAGATGGTAAAGAATCTGCCTGCAAAACAGGAGAACCAGGTTTGATCCCTGGGTCGGGAATACCCCCGGGAGGAGGGCATGGGAATCCAGTCCAGTATTCTTGCCTGGAGAATCCCATGGACGGAGGAGCCTGGCGGGCTACAGTCCATGGGGTTGCAAAGAGTCGGACACAACTGAGCGACTAACACACAATGGCTTTCTGGTATCCACACCTTTTGTAATATTACTTTGCAAGAGATGCAGCCTATTCTTCCCCAACCCTTAAAGCTTTGTGACTTGCTTTTGCCAACAGAATGTGGCAGAAGTCAAACAATGTTATGGATTGAATTATATCCCCTACAAAAAGACGCTAATCCTCCCAGTACTTCAGAATGTGGCCTTATTTGTGAAAAGGGTCATTACAGAGGTCATCAACTTAAAGTGAGGTTATTATGGTGGGCCCTAATGCCTCTGATCACTATCTTAATTAAAAGAAGAAATTTGAAAACAGACACATGCACCAAAGGAAATGACTTGAAGACACGAGAGAGAAGATGGTCTTCAAGTCAAAGAATTCCAGAAGCTACTGGAAGCTGGGAGAGAGAACTGGAACAGGTCCTTCCCTAATGTCTTCAGAGAGAGTATAACCTTGCCAACACCTTGGTTTCAGTCTCCAGGCCTCCATATCTGTAAAACAATATATTTCCCATTGTTCTAAGCCATCTTTTTGTAGTATCTTACTGTGGCGGCCCTAGGAAACCTATCACACAGATGGCATGATGGTTCTGAGTCTAAGCCTCAGAAGGCCTTCAGGACTCTGTCTCTGTCTCTCTGACTCCTCTGCTCTCACTATAAGACTATGCCTGACATAGTTAGCCCAGACTAGCTTGTTAGAGGGCATGGAAATCCACTCCAATATTCTTGCCTGGAGAATCCCATGGGTAGAGAAGCCTGGTGGTCTACAGTCCATGGGGTTGCAGAGAGTCAACTCAATCAACTGACCATGCATGCACAGCTTGCTAGAAGATGAGAAATGAGCCAACAGCTAGCTGACCACCAATACAGATGTAAACCCAGAGAAAACCAGAAGAATGCCTGCCAGTTATAGACACATAAAAAATTATACACTCTTATTGTTTTAAGTGACCCTAATTTTGAGGTGCCTATTATATTTATTATGGAAAATAAATAATACAGAAAAAACATGCAAAACGAAACAATATCATGCAAGAAACACATACTATTAGAATGTTACCTATGGAAGAAGGGGAATAAGGAATGGAGAAAAAAGTCAAATAGATTAAAAAGGGGCGGGGGGGGGCTGCAGAATAATGCTGATGGTATGCAATGAAAAAGTAATTCAACCCTATGCAACTATGGTAATATATTTAAAAAATTAAGAATGAGGTCTAAAAGGCAGTGGGGCAAGACTTGTGTTATAGGTTGAATTATGTACCCCTCAAAATCATATGTTGAAATTCTAAGACCCAGTATCTCAGAATGTAATGGTATTTTGAAATGGAGTCATTGTAGATATATAATTAGTTAAGATGAGGTCATTACAGTGAGCCCTGGTCCTATGACTGTTATCCTTATAAAATAGGAAAATTTGGGAATTCCTTGGTGTTCCAGTGGTTGGGATTCTGAGCTTCTCCTGCAGGGGGCTTGGGTTCCATCCCTGGTCAGTTCAGTTCAGTTCAGTTCAGTCGCTCAGTTGTGTCCAACTCTTTGCGACTCCATGGACTGCAGCACAGGGAATGATTAATAAGACCCTGCAAACTGCATGGTGTGGTCAAAAAACAAAAGAAAAGGGGGAAATGTGAACATAGAGACACGAACCCAGGAAGACAACCAAGTGAAGATAAAGGCAGATTGTAGGGGATGGGGGGCTGAGTGCTTCCACAAGCCAAAGAATTCTAAAGATTTCCAGCAAACTACCAGAAGCTAGGAACAGATTCTTTCTATAATCTTCAGAAGGAACCAACCCCTATATACATCTCCAGGCTTCCAGCCTGCAAATTGTGAGACATATTTCTATTGTTTATTGTCTTACAGCCATGAAATTAAAAGACACTTGCTCCTTGGAAGAAAAGTTATGGCAAGCCTAGACAGCATATTAAAAAGCAGAGGAATTACTTTGCCAATAAATGTCTGTCTAGTCAAAGCTATGGTTTTTGCAGTAGTCATGTATGGATGTGAGAGTTGGACTATAAAGAAAGCTGAGAGCTGAAGAACTGATGCTTTTGAATTGTGGTGTTGGAGAAGACTCTTGAGAGTCCCTTGGACTGCAAGGAAATCCAACCAGTCAATCCAAAAGGAAATCAGTCCTGAATATTCATTGGAAGGACTGATGCTGAAGCTGAAGCTCCAATACTTTGGCCACCTGATGCGAAGAACTGACTCACTGGAAAAGACCCTGATGGTGAGAAAGATTGAAGGCAGGAGGAGAAAGCGACAACAGAGGATGAGATGGTTGGATGGTATCACTGACTCGATTGAGTTTGAGCAAGCTCTGGGAGTTGGTGATGGACAGGGAAGCCTGACGGGAAGCAGTCCATGGGACTGCAAAGAGTCAGACACGACTGAACCACTGAACTGAACTGATTGTTTAAGCTACCAAGTTTGTGGTACCACTCTGTTACAGCATTCTAGTAACCAGGTCAAGGTGTGCAGAGAAGGAAATTACTCTTTTCTGACCCATAATTGGATTATGTATTTGGGCTGAATGTGAGTTGGTAGTTACCTTCCCCTTCTATATTCAGAAATTGGTGGTGTTTATTTTCCCAGACAATATCTCTCCAAATTAAGCATTTCTCATATTTTGAATTTTCATTAAGAAATATTCAAATTCAAGGTACTGGTATAATCTTCCACATTGAAATGGCTATATTTGGATAGCTCAAGCCAAGCATTATTTTGGGATCTTATCCATTTACCACAAATTCCTCTCCTGTTCCTGCTTCAAAAGTTAGGTCCATAATCCCCATATTCTATTGATCACAAAGGTTCTAAAATGATTTAAGACTTAATCTGAGGTATAGAAGGCAGCAGCTAAAATTAGTGGTTAGCGACTTGTTATATGTGTGATGGAGGTGACTGCAGAAGCCTAAAAGCTCATAGTCAATACTTACTTTATCTTATACTGTCCACTTGGAGAAGAACATGGCAACCCACTCCAGTATTCTTACTTGGGGAATCCCCATGGACAGAGGAGCCTGGCGGGCTACAGTCCATAGGGTCACAAAGAGTTGGACACGATTGAAGGAATTTGCACACATGCACATACTGTTCACTATTTCTAGGTCCTGGTTTTTCCTCCCTGTCAATACCCACCTCTGAGGAAACTCCAAGTTAGACAGGTTCAAGGAATTTTTGAGGAGCTACTTTTCTGCTTCCATCTGGTGCCATTCCTCAGTCCCCTCCCTGTTATGATACTGCAATCAAGATTTAAGTTTTTGCCTAAGTAACTCTACACACATCATTCCCATACCTTCCATACGCTTCTCTTCCTCCTCCAAAGACATGCCAGTTTCTGGATCCTCATAATTCTGTTCTTCATCAGAGAACTCTGTGGTTCCAAGGTAGACAGAGTCCTCTCTGCCATCATAGATACTGCCCTCTGGGTCACTGTAAGCCTCCTCTTCCAGGATGATGTTTGCATCTTCAGAGTACCCCACAGATTCTAAATAGTCCTCTTGTCCTAAGTATAAAGAATCATCTGGCTCCTCGTATTTCTGTCCATCCTGTAAATACTCAATAGTTACTGGAAATTCATACTCAATGATCTCAACTGACTGTGGTGATGTGAGTTTTGATGTGTTGTCTTCCTTCTCATTTTCCTTTGAGGACCAAGCAGTTTCCTGATAACCAGTTTCCTTGCCTGTGGAAGACTCAGAGGTTTCCAAATCCAAGCACTCTTTCTCTTTGAAGGACATGGTGATCTCAGGGTTATCAGGATGTTTTTCTCCAGGAAGGAAAACATCTTCCTTGCTTGCTCCTATCGGTGGAGGTGGCTCTCTATACTCATGTTTCAAAACTTCTGGAAAGAATAAGAAAGTGTGAGAGATTTTTATTTTCTTTCTCGAAATTAACAGATGTTATATTAGGGAGCTCCCATGACCTCAAAGCATCATCTCTCTATTTCACTAGATGATAGGAATATCTACATAAATGGCAATAAGTCAGCTCAGAACTTTCTTTCTCCCACTGAAAAATATCAGATCACACTCCTGCCCAGCTCAAAAGTTTGAGTCTTTCATAGCAAACTCAAAGGGTAAGTGGGTGAAATAGAAAACTTGAATCCTTTGTTTACTTGTTAATTTACTGTAACCCCAAACCGGGCTTCCCTGGTAGCTCAAATGGTAAAGAATCTGCCTGCAATGCAGGAGATTTGAACTTGATCCCCGGGTTAGGAGGTTCCTTTAGAGAAGGAAACAGCAACCCCCTCCAGTATTCTTGCCTGGAAAGTCCCATGGACAGAGGAGCCAGGCATGCTGCAGTCCATTGGGTTGCAAAGAGTTGGAAACCACTGAGTGACTAACACTTTCAACAGCAGCTCAGACTTCCTAGGGTCATTACTAATGAAGTTTGATTCTAATAATTTCTAATGAAGAAGTGAATAGCTCTTATTTAGAATAAATCCTGGAAATACTAAGACCTATATCTCTAAGTTTATGGGTCCTATACTACATTAGAAACCATTAGCATTAATATTTTTATCTTAGCTTCTGCCTCTCTGAGTTGTGCTTAGTCGCTCAGTCGTGACTCTTTGCACGTGACTCACTCTTTGCAACCCCATGAACTGTAGCCCACCAGGCTCCTCTGTCCATGAAGGTTCTCCAGGCAAGAATACTGGAGTGGGTTGCCATGTCCTCTTCCAGGGGGGTCTTTTCAACCCAGGGATAGAACCCAGGTCTTCATGCATTGCAGGCAAATTTCTTTACCATCTGAGTCACCAGGGAAACCCAAGAATACTGGAGTGGGTAGCCTATCTCTTCTCCAGGGGATCTTTCCAACCCAGGAATCAACTGGGGTCTCCTGCATTGCAGGTGGATTCTTTACCAGCTGAGCTACCAGGGATGCCTTAAGTGCTTCCTATTTGCCACTAATTATCATTGCATATTGAAAAATTAGCATTTGATTTGCTCCAGAAAATGAGGATTCAGCTGGCATTCTTCTTACAGAGAAAATGAAATTGCTAATCCACCACGTGTGTGTGTCAAAAATTATTTTAACTCTATTTTCAAAATGGCCGGACTAAGTGAAAGATGCAGCTTTTGGTCTTGAGGTTGTTAATACCTATGAATTCACTTACTTGATAAAGAAATCCCAATGTATCACTAACAGTAGTCTCTTTCCAACTATGAGTATTTCGGGATGTCACTGTCAAAACAGTAAGACGTTTATACCAGCAAGAAAACAACTGCTGGTTTTGGATTGTGTTTGAACAAAAAAGTTATAAATCCTCCAGAACAATAACATACATATTCCCTGCTTTTTAAATCTTGGACACTTTTCCCTTTTATCATATTTCACTGAAAATTATCTCCAGGAGAATGACAAATGAAAATAAAGGGTAGTCATTTTCTTTTTTTCAGGAAAACTGCCTTCTCCCTCTTGGCCCAAAAAGTGTAGAAATGTAACTTACCTTGATTTAAGTTGCAAATGGTAGCTGACTGGGAAAAAGTATTAAACAAACAGTTGAGAAAAAGCCGGCAGCTCACTTCTCCCTTTTTCTGTACCAAAATCAACAGCTTCCGACTTTTCTTCAGGGGATCTGTAATATTCTCCAGAATCTCATACTCTTCCTCAGAAATCACCTTCCGAGAGGTTAACGTATCTAAGATACAGTCAGGATCCTGTTGTAGGATTTCTAGTAACTTTTTTCTTTCTTTTTCTATGATTTGGGAGGGAACACTCCCTGCAGCCATTGTTCTGTTTTCTGCAGACCAGGAAATGAACTATGAAACTGTGTCAATGAAGAAACACGAGTTCGGTTTTGCTTTTTTTTTTAAAGGCAGAGTAATGCTTTTTGGCAAAGATTAACCATGTCAGTGACCCTTAGTGTTGGAGAGGGCTGAGCAGATAGAAACAAGCCAAAAAGTCGAGGGGAATCCAGCCATGAGCCCCCACAGATCCTGGATCCCTATAGATTATTTACCTGTTTTTTTTTTTTTGATGACTTGTCTCAGTTTCACATGGTTTAGCCTCCAAGAACTCTTTCTCTGAGAAGTGCCTCTTGAACTTCAGATTCCTTGCTCTGAACTCTATCTGCAATAACAAGATCATGAATTGATTAACCCTTTTGGAGAGAAATCTGTCAATATGCAGCAATAAATAAATAAATGTGACAGATAAAAATAAAAATTAAACCATTCAATGCAGCAATTCCACTTCTAGGAAATTATCTTAAAAAATAATGAGACAAACGACCAAAGATGGATGTGCAAGAATCTGTACTTTCACATTTTTATAATAGTATAAAAAGGAAAGTAACTCAAATTTCCACAAATTGGGATTTATGGAACAGATGTTGATACATCAACAATGGTGTTACCAAGTAAGGTCTGGCTGCTCATCGCTCAAAAACCAGTAAGTGAAAGTTGCTCAGTCATGTCCGGCTCTTTGAGACTCCATGGCCTATGCTGTCCATGGAATTTTCCAGGCCAGAACACTGGAGTGGGTAGCTGTTCCCTTCTCCAGGGTATCTTCTCAACCCAGGGATTGAACCCAGGTCTCCAGCACTGAAGGAGGATTCTTTAGACAAATATTGGAGACAAATATTGATAGAAAGGAAAGTTGTTTTTAATCAGAATGCCAGCAATCTGGGGAAATGGTGGACTCGGTGTCCTCCCAAAAACAGCTCAGAGGATTCTGGTTGGCCATGAAATTTTTATAAGGAAAAGGGGAAGTAATCTGTTAACCATTGAAATAGGGAGTCAGAGTTGTTGCCATCTCCCTCTGTGCAGACTTGTGGGCAGACCAGTCAACTTCTTAGGTTTTTCTTTAGATGCTATCTTGTTCACACAGTGTACTTGCAAGATTATACTAAAGAGGAAGCTAGGGAAGAGATCTGGTCATCTGTTAATTACTTATTCTTCATTTCAACATCTTTGATGTATGGAAAGAACCGATAGATTAGGCAAGGTATGGAGTGATCAAGATTTGAAAGGCATGCTAGGGCCAGAGACATGTCTGGGCAGAGCAGCATTGCTTTCTTGTTTTAGGGCATGACCCATGCTTCTGCTGCATGATTTTGTTGCTAAGCAATCCACTTGGCTTTGTGGTTAGCTGACCTGTTTTCTTAAGTGATCATTAACTTACGGGGGTCTCCCATACTTTTTTCTTTACATACAGTCCTCTAGTGGGATTAACTCTGTCCCTATCAAGTGCCTATCAATTCTATTTCTATGGGATTATGGGCTAAAGGCTGTCTTTTGTAACTTCTTCATACTGACAGAGGGTGCCATATTCTTAGAGTGGAAGATGTCAGATGGGTTTGTAGCATCTCTTTGCCTAGTTTTGGTTGCCCACTTACATATGCAGACAGAACAAGCTACAGTTATTTTTCTTTTAAATATAATGTATATCCACATATACATATTGTATACATGCACTATACATATTAACATTTTAAACAAAACTGGGTTCTATAACTTGCTGTTTTCCATAATAATATATCATGGATGTCACTATTTGTCAATATGTATAGATTTACTTCATCCTACAGTTATTTGATGTCCACCAAGATATAGGTTATTATTGAAACAGGGAACCGAATTCTGTTCACAGAGCTAAAGAATGGAATTCACAAACTAGCAAACACTCATGCACACAAAGTTTATTTTAAAGGACAGAGATACAAAGCCCTCAGCATAGACACTGAGAAGGGAGTACAGACACTGAGAAGCATAGACACCAAGACACTGAGACAGGAGTAACAGCAGCTTTTATATCTTGATGAGAATTGATCTGTTCATTTTTGGTTGGCTCTGGGCCAGAAGCATGTAATTTCTGACCATCAGTTAGTTTAAATGTTGCAATGTCCAATTTGCCATTTTTATGGCTTTTTTGGGGGGGGGGGTGGTTTCCAGTTCCTCAGTTTCTCTAGACATTGTGACACCATCCCTTGACCCTTTCTCAAGACCCCAGATCATTACTTAGAGACCAAATATATGTTTAGGAGCTAATGGTCCACCTGCAGTTTTTCTCCTTGATAAACTGGACAGCAGTTAATGATTGTCTTGTCCTGGGTCTGAATGTTTTAAGACCCTCCAGACAAGGGAGGCATTCCTCAGAATGCCTAGAAACTGGAGCAGCAAATATAGCTTTTGGCTAACAGAGCAAAATGGTTATGTGAGAGAATTAAAATTGAAATTTAAAAAAGAACCAAGGCCCTGACTCTACACTGACTGCCTAACAATTTCTACCTCATTATGAGCCATGGAGTTAAGCCCATTCTGAGGCCAGTTCTTGGAATTGTACTGGCCATAGATTCAGTATTGCTCAAGATGGAACAGTTTATGTTATGGCTACAGTCTGCTCATCATGCAGTTGGCTTTTTCCCACTGGTGGCAGTTACAGTATCTGTAAAACAACTCAGGAATGTGCATCAGACACTGAGTCTGTGACTCTGCTATCCTAATCATTAATGGCTTGAGTTTGCTGTTTTGTGACTCAGGGAAGCCTGGAAGACTTCAGTTTTCCTATAAACAAGAGGCAGGAGACATGGAGGGGCCCTGGTAATTGGGATGGGATGGGGCAAGCCGAGCTCTACTCAGTTCCAATGGAATACCAAAATGAAGTTAAAAAGGACAAAGTAAATCTATGCATATTGACAAGTAGTAATAGAAATAATATATTATTAAGGAAAATAGCAAGTTATAGATTCCATTTTTGTTTAAAAAGTTAATATGTGTAGTGTACGTATACTATTTGTATATATTGATATACATTATATTTAAGACAGCCAGGAAAGAGATAACACAATTTTACCTCTGCTATCTCTGGTTGAGCTCAGAGAGGCAGCAGTGAGTGGTGGCGTAAAATGAGATCTTAATTCCCCGCTCAGGAATTGAACCTGGGTAGCCTGGATGAAAATCAGGATTCCTAGCCACCAGACCAGCAAGGACTAGAGGCTAGAAGCTATTTTTCCTCGGCTTTTGTCCCAGTGAAAAAGCATTTCTCATGCAGGCAAAAACTATAAATGCAGGTACAAAGTTTATTATTAGAGACATACATAGCACAGCACATAGGAGAGCACACAGAGAAATAGTTTGTTAAGACAGAAGCAAGGCAGATACACCTGGAGAGAAAGGTTGTAAGCTTCCCCACTAGCGAGGAGGAGCTCAGTAGAGAGGCAGTTGAGTCATTTATATAGGACATTTCTTCCAGATCTTTTTACCCTTGGCCATTTGTTCTTTTTCCACACCTGACCTACCCTTGAGCCCTCTCAGACATGCATGTGCAACTTGTTTCCAAGATGGATTCCAGTCCAGAGGCCTATGGGATCACATGTTAGCATCACATATTATGGGGTGGCATCCCCTCTTTTTTGACCCTCAAGCAGCCTTTCTGCCCACATGAAATGTCTCCCTTACCCCAAGGATGGGAAATATATGACTTCCTGATTCTTTGTTCAAGCAAGGTTTAGCCCTTCTCTGTCCCTGCCATGACCGTTGTCTTAAGGTGTCCACTGGAGACAAAGCCTGGCTGCTTACCCTGTATCTGTTGTTACTTCCATTTTTGGAGGGCACATAGGAGGATGGCTGTAAGTAACTAACCTGGAGCTCACCTGTCCTGTTTCAGGAGATGCAAACAGGAGGCTAGTTGCAACTGTCTGGCCTGAAGCCCACTTTTTTCCTGCCCAGAGATATGTAAACAGGAGGCCAGTTGTAAACGCCTAGCCTGCGGCCTATCTGTCTCCTGCCTCATGGTGATATGATAACAGCAGTATTCAAACTTTCTACTTTAAACATTTCTATTTATATTAACACTTTTTTGTTATCAACAGAATTTAATTTTCTAAAAAGTTATCTGGTTGGTTTTTATTTTCAGTTATAGTTCACAAGAACCCGAAAACAATATAAATATCAACAGAATACTGGATGAGCAAACTGTAGTATTTCAAGCAATGTAAAAGACAGCATTCAAAAAGAATGAATTTCAGTGACCCACAGTATAGATAAATCATAAGCATTAAGGGGAAATTTTAAGTCCCCAAATATTATATGCAGCATAGCACCCTCCTACAAGGCTCAAAATAATGGAAATACAGACACACAGATTTTAGGAATACACACTGAATCAATGGAAACAGTGAGAGACTTTATTTTCTTGGGCTCCAAAGTCACTGCAGATGGTGACTGCAGTCATGAAATTAAAAGACACTTGCTCCTTGGAGATCAAGATCGGTGGGAGAAATATCAATAACCTCAGATATGCAGATGACACCACCCTTATGACTGAAAGTGAAGAACTAAAAAGCCTCTTGATGAAAGTGAAAGAGCAGAGTGAAAAAGTTGGCTTAAAACTCAACATTCAGAGAACTAAGATCATGGCATTCGGTCCCATCACTTCATGGGAAATAGATGAGGAAACAAGGTTAACAGTGAGAGACTTCATTTTTGGGGGCTCCAAAATCACTGCAGATGGTGACTGCAGCCATGAAATTAAAAGGTGCTTGCTCCTTAGAAGAAAAGCTATGACCAACCTAGACAGCATATTAAAAAGCAGAGACATTAGTTTGCCAACAAAGGTCTGTGTAGTCAAAGCTATGGTTTTTCCAGTAGTCATGTATGGATGTGAGAGTTGGACTATAAAGAAAGCTGAGAGCTGAAGAACTGATGCTTTTGAAATGTGGTGTTGGAGAAGACTCTTGAGAGCCCCTTGGATTGCAAGAAGATCCAACCAGTCCATCCTAAATGAAATC